ACAGACGCCTGTCACCTGTGCCCACAGCGCCCAGCATGGCAGGGCCCCCATGGCTTCTCCCTGGCGAGGGCCTGCGTCCCTCCCTCGGGGCTGCTCCACAGTGGCTTGTGGGTTTAGTCCCAAGAAAGGAAAAAGGCCAACCTGAAAGCCTGCTTGTTTATTTATAAACTCATACTTGAATTTTATTGACTTTTATTTCATCAGTTTGGTTTTTTCACATCCAAAAAAACACACCTGCATCCCTTTTGCGGGGAGTGCCCTGGGAATCCTCCCGGCCTAAACAGTGATGGACTGCGCACTGAGGCGGCGCCCTACCTTCCTGTCGGTCTTCCCCTCAAGCCCTGGTGCTGACAGCTGTGTCCCGTCCACAGCCATTGAAGCCATGAAGAATGCCCACCGTGAGGAGCTGGAGCGGGAGCTGGAGAAGAGCCAGCGGTCCCGGGTCAGCAGCGTCAGCTCGGACGTCGAGGCCCTACGGCGGCAGTACCTGTGAGTTGGCGGCCCGCCACAGCGGGCCCGAGCACTGCACTCTCCTGCTCATGCAGGCAGGCAGAGGCCAACCACTAAAAGCCAGAGAATAAGAGGCAGCAAAGGAAATTTTATAAATACTGTCCATTCTTGACCGATCTCAGCGGCCACCCCTGGAATGTCGCCATCAGCTGCTGCAGCTCGTGAGGAGGGCACGGGCCTCGTGTGCGCGCTGTGGCTCCGGGCCATGCCTGGCAGAGGCGGCCGCAGTTGCTCCATTTTTGAGAAAGCACGTGCACTGAGGGCCCTTGCGCAGCCAGGAGAGTGGAGAGCAGATTCCAGCATGGCCGCCCTCGAGGTTTTCCCTCCATAGAATCTGCGCCACAGGGAGCCCTTGGACTGGCTGCTGCCAGGCCCTGCCGAGCCAGCGTCTCAGGGGGTCTGCAGCCTCGCAGAATCAGGGTCTCACCTTCCCGGCTCCTGTTTGGTGTGGTCAGGGCCCAGGAGGGCTGGAGGGGTGACAGGTGTGCAGGGCCTGGACGACTTGCCCTGAGGCACTCACTCTGGGATCCCCAGTAGGAGTAACAGCCCTTCTCAAGGAGTCCAGGGTGGCCGAGAACAACGTTGTAAGGTTTTGATTTTCCAAACATGGGCAGAGTCTGGTACTGGGCTTTCAGACCCAGAGGCCCCACACTTAGTGCCGAGGACAGACTGCAAGTCCAGCTTCTCCCTGAAACAGCACTTGCTTTGGCGTGTGTGTGCGTGAGGCCTCTCCTGACCCCAGAGGAAAGTTTTGTCTGTGGGACAATTAAACTTCTTGAGAGAGGCTCCTATTCAGCTGAGCATGCGCTCGCTAAGACAACAAACCTTAGGCTGCTGAGCCTCTTAGAGGCCTGGGCCCTGGGCGAGGGCAGGGGAGTGAGTGCTGCCCTCTCCCCAGGGAGGAGCTGCAGTCGGTGCAGCGCGAGCTAGAGGTCCTCTCCGAGCAGTACTCCCAGAAGTGCCTGGAGAATGCCCACCTGGCCCAGGCGCTGGAGGCCGAGCGGCAGGCCTTGCGGCAGTGCCAGCGCGAGAACCAGGAGCTCAACGCCCACAATCAGGTGAGGCTGTGGCCGGGCCAGCTGGGGTGGAGCCAGGCCTCCTTCAAGGTCACCCCTGGAACCCGGGCTGCGGAGGGTCCCCCAGTCTGCAGGCATCTCCCCAGTGTCTGATGTCATCCCATTCCTACGTGAGCCAGCTGCTGCCCTTTGGGGACACTTGGCTCCAGCCCTTCTGGAGACCCTGGGAGTCTCTCTCTTACATCGCGTCTCTGAACTTCTCCTCCATTGCTGCTGGGTGGGGTCAGCCTGTCTCCCGTCTCCAGGCTGGGACTGTGTTTAAACACCTCCCAGTCTAGACCATATACTGCTCACATTAGTTTTTATCTGATTATTCTCTTAAAATGTACCTGCTCCTTAGAAAACTGGGGTAACATTTTAAATCCTGGCAAATGGAACAGCTAGAGGCAGGTTTAGTTTGAGAGAAGCTGCTCCTTGGGCACAAGATGGGACCATTGTCCACACAACCCACCCACTCACTCATCCTCCCCGGGCCTCAAGGAGACAGGCGTGTTGGCCTGGCCTGGCTGCAGGCCTCTGGGCCCACAGCTTTCCATGTGGGGGCCTCCGGCAGGACTGGCTCCCCTTAGTCACTGCAGTGGCCTGAGTTGACCACTGTCAGTTGGAAAGAAGGTCCAAGAAGTGAGTGGTGATTGTGGCAGTAGGGCCCAGTCCTGCTCAAAGCGGACAGACCAACCGTTATGGTCACAGAAAGTACTAAGGATTGTGGAAGCCTACATATACAAGTCTGTAAAAACTTGGAGCCCATGTAAATGGCTTTTGCAAAGACGCACAGCTTGGCATTTAAATCCAAGCTGCCACTGTGCTTCCGTGCTCGTGCACAACCCCAGCCCCATCCCTTTTGGTTATGTTGCTGCCCCCAGGAGCTGAACAACCGTCTGGCTGCAGAGATCTCACGGTTACGGACGCTGCTGACTGGGGACGCCGGTAGTGAGGCCGCTGGCTCGCCTCTCACACAGGGCAAGGACGCCTACGAGTTAGAGGTACCGCTCAGACCGAACGTGGGGACAGCACTGCAGGGACAAGACTCAGCCAGTGGGAGGGGAGGAACGGGAAGGTCCAGATCACACCAGGACAGCGGTGTGGGGCCCTTTAACCCCGTTCTCGCTCACCTGCCTTTCTCCCACTTCTCCCCGCCGACAAACTGACTGCCTGAGATAAAACATTCAGTAACTATCCAAACACTGCAGCTGCTCGCAATCCCGTGGTGCCCTGTTAACTCAGGATCTGGGAGGTCTGTTTTAAGTCAGGATGTTTGGTTTTTCTGTGTCCATAAAGTGTCCTTTTATAAAAGCACTTAGATTTCTCCCCATTCAATTAAAATTCTGTCATGAAAATACCGTATCCCACCTAAATGATGTGGGAGAGGCTGAGCTGAGGCCTCAGCAGGACACCTCCAGCCTGAGGAGGTCCAGGAGGACTCGCAGCGGTTTCTCTCCTGTCCTCTTTGTGTGGGGTCTGCACTGTGGGTGGCGGCAGCGGTCGGGTGGCCGGCCCTCCTGGCTGTGTGCTGGCGAGGCTGGGAAGGAAGCTACCAGCTCGCTGGCGCGGAGGGGAGCTCTCTGTGTGCCCGTCTTTGCCTCCCAGCTCTGGAAGTCCCTCTGTTCCTGGCTTCTCTCATTCTAGGTCTTACTGCGGGTCAAGGAGTCAGAAATACAGTACCTGAAACAGGAGATCAGCTCCCTCAAGGATGAGCTGCAGACGGCATTGCGGGTAACGGCACAGCCCCGTGGGGGGCTGGAGGGTGGGTTCTGGCGTCCCTGTTAGTGCGGGCTGGTGGGCTTTCCCCAAGAAGGTGGTTTCAAAACCGAGTTCTAAGAGAACGCCAGCCTGCAGGCAGGTGCAGTGAGAATGAGGAGCCCACTGCCTTGCGGCCCGTGTGCCCAGGTGGGGCGGTGAGACCCGAGAAGGCTGTCCGGGAAGTACGTTCCGTCAGGCCTGCCAGTATCCTGCAGGCGCTCTTAGAGTCAGGGAGAAGTCCCAGGGGGCCGTTCAGTGCCTTAGGGAGACCCAGAACAGAGAGGGGTCTTCCCAGCTGAAGCCACAGAGAGGTCCTTGGGGGTCAGGACAGCTGCAGCCTGGCCGGCAGCCGGGGCCCTGCCGTGCCTGGTTCAGACGGAGACCCTCAGCTGTGCCTGTTTTACTTCGGGTCCGGTTTCACCTCTGGAAGCTCGGGGCCGACCTGCCTTCCCTGCTCCAAGGCGGTCCCAGTCTTCCCGCAGCAGCACCCCGGCTCCAGGAAGCGGGCCACAAGGCCAGGCTGGAACCGTGCTTTGCTCTGTCCTTGTTCCCCAAGGATAAGAAGTACGCCAGCGACAAGTATAAAGACATCTACACGGAGCTGAGCATCGTGAGGGCGAAGGCCGACTGTGACATCAGCAGGCTGAAGGAGCAGCTGAAAGCAGCCACAGAAGCGCTAGGGGACCGGTCCCCGGAGAGCACCCCCGTGTCGGGATACGGTGCGTCCACAGGCCTGCACCCATCCGGTCAGAGGGCTGCGGGCAGTCGGGCCAAGCAGAGGGGTCCTTCTGTGTGTCCACACCCACTACCTTGTGGGACGACCAGTGGCGGCTTGGGGCCCCTCCTCCTGCTCCTTCCAGACCTGAGGCGGGTCAGGCCCTGATGCCTGGGGAGGCCACACCATGGTGTGTCCATGGTGACATCAGGCATGTTTCCCAAGTTCTTGAAGAACTCACTCATTTTCTGGCAGCAGCTCTCACTGGTTGCTTGATCCTGGGGTTTTACCATCAAATCTGCAAAAGGCCGTGGGAGCAGGGAAGGGGGGCCGCTGCCACCGAAAAGATGTTACAGGTATCCACAGACCCCAGCTTCTTTCTCTCCACTGGCAAGGATCCCTGGTCGTGGCAGTCCTGATGGACGGAGGGGAGAAAGAAAGGGTGGCGTGTTAGGTCTTCCCAGAAGCTGCTGGGTGACAAGCAGCAAGAGTCAGAATCAGAGCAGACTCAATGTCAGGTTAACTGAACGGTAACAGGGCTGCTTCCAAGGAGGAGCCTGGGAGTCAGGGGGAGGCATCCTTTCTGTGACCTGCTGCTTCCCTCTGAATGGACAGTGTGCAGAACCCGCACCCAGTGACATTCTGTGCCTCGCACAGGCCACAGGGAGGGTCGTCTGGTCTGTGGCATCGTCACAGAGAAAAAATAACAATCTCTTCCGCGGGGCGCATAGAACAGCAGTGGGTCTGCTTGTTCCCTCAGATATAATGAAATCTAAAAGCAACCCTGATTTCTTGAAGAAAGATAGATCCTGTGTCAGCCGGCAACTCAGAAGCATCAGGTCCAAGGTGAGTCTGGGGGTCCCTGCATGTGTGGAGCCCACCATGGGCCGCAATGGGGAGACCCAGGGTTCCAGAACTGGCCCTATGCGCTTACCCTGCCGGGCTGGCTCCAGTGGCATCAGGCTGAGTGTGTCCTTGGCGCCGCACTGGGATCGTCTCCTGGCGGCAGTGGGGGCTGGCGCCCTGCTGTCTGTGCCGCTTCTCACGCACTCCTCCCCCAACCACATGCCCCATCCACAGCGTGTGACCCCGCGTGCCCTCCGAGGGAAGGATGGGCGGAGGGCGGGGTGGCCAGCATGTTGCACTTAGCATTCATGTGTGTGTGTCTTCTTTTCTGCCCTTTCCTCCGACAGTCCGTTATTGAGCAGGTCTCATGGGATAACTGAAACGCCCGCTGCCAGGTCCCCTGTCGTGTAGGTAAACCACCTCTCACCACCCACCCTCCCGCCCACCGCCCTCAAGGGGGCAGCCACCTGCATGCACAGCGCACACCTCCCTAGCAAGCTCCCTATTATGTGGTTACTTCATGCCTCCTGCTCCAGCCGGCATATCACAGTCCAAGTGAAGTTCCTTAACCCATTCTGGGGAGTGAGCTGCACTGTAACCTCTTAACAGACTTGACCCCTTGCGGGGGGGAGCACCCCTCCCAGCTTGGTGGGCTGCCCACGGAGCCGGCATCAGGGGGAGCGTGGCCTGTGAGCAGCTCTCAGCCCGTCACCTGCATGGCGAATGGTGCGCTCACGCTCTCAGGGACACCGTTGCCCTCCATCGAGGGGTGGACTTGACAGAGCCCCCCACCACTGAAGAAACCCCTCCACCCCACCCCCAGTTAACAGGCCAAGGAGGGCGAGCCCAGGTACTCAGGGAGCTCACCCTTGTGGACAGGGCTTGGGGGCCAGGCTCAGCAGAGCCCAGTGCCTGCGAGTGACGGGGCTGAGCCCTCACCAGCCCTGGCGACACTGGGGCCGCTGATGGGGCAGAGATCCAAGTGCTGGCTGCATGACGCCAGCCTGTGTGACGGTGGACCGGGACACTCGGTGCCCCGGTCACTGCCTTGAGTGTGCGCACAGCTTGGCCCACGTGGTCTCGCTAACTCGCCAGAGAGCAGGCAGAGCAGCAGGAGGGGCACCAGGGGCAGGCCGCGCTCACCCACAGAAGGGCTTGCTTTAGGGACGGCCTAAGAAAACCCAGACAGTTTAACTTGGTCAGCTTGGTTGCCCTGTTTTCTTATTTTGCCGAGTCACTTACCACCAAACATGGTTTAGGCTTGCTGAAAACTTAGTTTGGGCTTTTCTCTTTAAGCACGAAAAACGTTCTGTTTAGCAAAGTGAAAACCTGCTCTCTGGCTTACGGTTTTCTTGCTGTAGAGTTCCTGTTTGGGGCTGAACTGCAGCTGCTGTAAGTGCCCCGTGAGGGCCTTGGGCTGCTGTCGGCGCCCGCGGAAGGGAGACGCCAGCGCTTCTGCTGGGGCCTCTCAGGGAAGCCTTGCTCCAGCCCGCCCGCCCGCCCCGGGGACAGCTGTGTAGGGGAATCAGAGGAAAGGCCTTTGGGCTCTGGACAAAGGGCCAGGAAGTCAGGGAGAGGACTTTTGCAGTGAGGGGGGCTGGGAAGGCCTTTTATGTCGCCGGGAAATGGACAGTGAAAGCGTCAGGCACCCCCAAGACGTCCGCCAGGGGCTCTCGGCGAGGCCCAGGAGCAGGGCTTCCCAAAGTAGCGTTTGAGTCTGCGTTTGGCTCAGCAAGTTTCCAGTGTAAGGAGGTTCTCGGTTGTGAGCCCTGCTGACCCAAGGAGCAAGGTGGGGCCCTGACGGTCATCTTCAGGGTCACGGCCACAGTGCTGGCCGGGCCTGTAACATGCTGTCAATAAGTGCTTGCTAGGGGTCTTTGCCACCCTTTTTCCTGATCGTATTTAGAAACCCCCTCCTCTCCCCTCATGGGGAGACGGGAATGAAGCTGCCCGGAAACAGCCTTCTGTGCTTTTTGATACGGGATCGGATGTGTGTGGTTTCCGTCTTCTGTGTGTGTCATGTCTGGTGGGCTGCCTCCCTCAGAAGGCGGAGGGCTCGGCCCTACCAGGTCAGCCTGAAAGCAGTGTGGCTCCCGGGAGCCCTGCTCTGGGCGTGGGTCAGGGTGTGGGGTGTGCAGCCCAGGGCTGCCTGAGCACAGCTGGGACTCGTCAAGCATGCAGGATGGGAGGACCTCTGTCCCTTGGGTCTCAGGATGGCGCTTTGGTGTTTGCTGCCATCATGAGGGGAAGACTGCGGCTAGAGCAGAGCGGCGTGACAAGTGGCAGGGCCTCCAGGCCACAGCCACACTTGGGCCCACCCCCTGTGCTTACGAAAGTTCAGGGTCTGACTGGGACATAGATTTGTCCCCATCCTCCAACCCACTCAGTGGCGACTCGTTAAGAAAACACAGGCAGAGCTGTTCCGGGTGAGGCTGGGGCACCGGGGGATGCGGGTGGCGCAGACGTCCGCACAGAAGGAAGCCTGAGCCGCTCTGGGCCCTGCGTTCATCTAGCTGTACTGCGCTTCTCGGCTGGGAGCGGTGGGGCCCCTGGGGCCGTGCGCCGAGCTGATGCCCCTTTTCTCAGCCAGAGGTGACATCAAACAGCCCGCAGGACTGCAGCAGAAAGTGCTGTGTCCCCATCAGGGAGGTGCCGTTCACCTCAGGACACCCAGACTTCAGCTTGGCCGGGCCCCACGCAGACAGGGGCAGGTTTCCATGGGTGTCCCCAGACTCCGTAGCTGCCGTGCATCCAGCAGAGTTTCCAACCAGGATGCAGCCAGGCCAGGAGGGAGACCAGTCCCGTCCGCCGCATCCTGGGAGCTGGGGCCTCCCAGAACCAGAGGACAAGGACACGGGGCGGTTTTCTTGTCCCAGGCAGGGTCCTCTCTCCTGGCTGAATTGGCCTGATCCCTGCTTGTCTAGAGAGCCCTGCGTTCAGAGCTCAGCTTCACATGCATCCTATTTCTCATCCAGAGGACACGGCCACCTCTCAGGGTGCCCCCTCAGCGTGCCCCGCTGACTCCCCGGTAGTGCCCTTGTCCGCCGGGGCCGCGGGCTGACGCCTGTCTGTTTCCCCACCAGAGTCTGAAAGAAGGCCTGACGGTGCAAGATCGTCTGAAGCTCTTTGAGTCCAGGGACTTGGAGCAAGACTAGCCGTTCCACTCGACCTGACCCACCCTGGCCGGTGGCAGCACCCGGCCGCTGCCCGCCTGCACCGTTTCTCTCACTGTCGTCCTCGTGGTGGTCGTTGTCCTCGTGAACCATGGGTCCGGGTGCAGAGACTGGCTGGGCTGTCCGCCACTACCCGCGCTCCGTCAGCGCCCTCCCCGCCGCCGCCCTCCTCACTGTCAGTATTAAGGCCCAGCAGCCTGTCGATAAGCTAGCTCGGTCTCGCCGGGTGCACGTGGGGCCGGGCCCGGCAGGTCACGTAGGGCAAGGACAAGCCGCTGGGTCCGGCACTGAGAGCTCACTAGGCCGCAGGGGCAGGAGGGAGCTGGCTGAGAGCCGTGGCTCATGGCCTGGACTTACCACCTTTGGGCTCGGGAGGACAGCATTTTGTATTTGTTCCACTAACGCAGCTTAGAACCACACCCCAGATAATCGTGGTAAACCCATCACAACCTGAAAAATGTTGAAAGCAGCCATTCCTACTTTTGTTCATTTTTTATTAAATCTTGCACAAAACGCAGCCCCTCGCGTGCCTTCCTACACTGGCTTCGGTCTCGGTCACCAGTGACCCGGTCTCGGCGCAGCTGGAGACTGTGGACCTGCAGCCGGGCTTTCTGGCTGTGATCACAGGTGGCGGTGAGTCCCCCCAGAGTCATCCAGGGGAAGACTGTCTGTCTCCTCAGTTTTCTGAAAAGAGGGCTCCATTTGTTTTCGAGCAGGTTGACAGGAAACCCCACGTTAGGTCAAGAAGGTTGGAGGACGTCGAGCAGCAGACGGAAACTGGCCACAATGACTCGTCCTCCCAGACTCCGTCCACCTGTGCTCTGGAGGCTCTCGCAGCGCTTAGAGCCGGAGCTAGGCCTAACGGCTTTCCTTCTTAATGGGCCAAGTAACACCTTTTTAAGTGCCCCTAACACCCCAAAGTGCTTCTTGAGAAGCTCTCTTAAACTGGGGTTTCAGTTATAACCCCACGAAAACTGCTAGTCGGCGGGGGGTCTAAACACATGGGCCAGGCGGGGCCTGATCTGCGGCCTTGAAGCCAGGTGGACGCTTGGAGGAAGTCACTCTGGCCTCGCTCACTGATCAGCTCCTTGGTTTTTGCCGGGAGCCTTCACTCTGGGTGAATGCCTGAGTTAGCACGATGGTCTTGGTGCGTGGATGCTTTGAGGGCGAACGTGCAGAAATCATTTGCTCAGTTTCTGGATTAAGTTAAGGAACAGGGTCTTTTGGGAAAAGTCCTGGAGGGCAAGACAGAGGCCCTGCATGTGTTAAGACCCCTCCTACCGTCTTCCTCTGGGGAAGCCTGTGTCTCTGCTCGCACCGAGAGTTCCAGTCCACGAGCTTTTAAGGGTCTTAAGTCACAGCTGTGGCTCCTCTGCGGCTCTTCCATGTTTTAAGGAAGAGGCTGTTGGCTCTGCCTCTCGGCTCTCGTCAGACACGCCCACTCCTGCGCTGGAGACTGGCATCGTTCCGGTTGAGGGAGGACTGCGGCCTTCGGTGTCTTGCTCAGAACGGGAGTTCCCCTCGGGTCAGCGCAGCCCCCAGGATGGTCGGGGGCAGAGGGGGGCTCACGCCTTTGGAGCACGCGCCCCGTCACCAGGTTTCTGTTGTGGCTGTCTCTGGGGGCCCTCCCAGAAGGGCAGGGTCTGCGTGCCCCAGGGAGGGCTGTGTTCACGTGGTCAGCTCTTCCCAGTGGTAAACGTCTGCTATGGCCCTTGTGACCTGGCACCTGCGGGTGAGTCATGCCACACATGCCCATGGGAAAACTGAAGTCTGACGTCATTTGACAGCTTTGTGAGCACATGCGTGATTCACTGCACGTGGCCACCGGCGCCGGGCAGGTGTGAAGCCGGCACTTGGGCAGTGCCAGCTGCGGGGTGACGTGCAGAGAGGTGGCAAACGGGACTTGGCTGCTGGAGGTCGATGCTTGTGCTCAGAGGCAGCAGGATGAGTGAAACTTTGTGGGTGAAGTGGTGGCTGTGCTGGGGGACCAGGTGGTCTGTCAGGGCCCACAGCTCCCTGTCTCGAGTCCAGCTATTGCAGTGGAGACTGTGGGCAGACCCGCCTCCAGCCAGCTCAGTGGCATCTGTCATTCGTGGTGTCCGGACCCAGCACTGGCTCACTGACCCTGTAGCTAGGCACGAGGCCTCGCACCACCAGGCTTGGGAAGAAGAGAGTTGAGGTTTTTAAAGCAGCAGAACTATGACCCTCAGAGTCTGCACGAAAGGGACTCTGATGAGGCCAGGAGACACAATGGATGGTGTAACGCGTCTTTACAGAGGTCCACTGAATGCCATTTGTGTTGTCAGAGGGAGGTGAGACCCCTTTCTGGCCTGCTGCCTGGAGGGCCCTGTCCAGGCCGGCTTTTAGGCTTGTCCACCTGCCGCACCCTGCGGGGCCCCCCAGCTCTGGCCAGTGGAACCCTGTGGGCAGGCACCCCCACCTAAGCTCCCGCTGGCCACATCCGCACAGGGCGGTCCCTCCTCCCCGGCGCCGTGGGGGGTGGTCTTCACGGCTCACCGTGCCCCAGATTTCTCCCTGCTGCTCACGCGTGAGGTCTGAGCCCTTAGCTGGGGCTCAGAGCTGTTCTCAGAGTGAAAAGAATGCCACTCCCTGAACATGAGTTGGCTCTTAATTGTCCTGAGGAAGCTTGGGAGTTAACTTTCCTTTATAGACGCAACTTCAAAAAGCAAAAAACAGGACGCTAGCCCTTTATCACCTAGAAAGGGGAGAAATTTTAAGTACTGCCAAATACAAAGGACAGGGAAATGTGTAGTGTTATGCTTAAAAGGAATTAAGTACTAAAGTTTGGCAGGCTGATTGGAAGCCTCAGCCACTCAGGACATCTCGCGCCCAGGAGCCCTGGACAGCGGAGCTGGGACCCGCTTCATACGCGGATTCCAGCTGCTGCCCTCGGGTTTCTCTGCCCATGGCGACTGGTAAGCGCTTCTCTGCCCTTCAGGAAGGGACTTGGCAGACTGCTGCCGAAACAGGCTTAAGGCATTTATTTGCGCACCAGTTCCCCACATGTCCCACCTTTCTTCTCTCTGCACCCTCCCTGAGAGGGGACCACTGGGCGGCTCAGCAAACACTGAGACTCAGAAAACAGGGAAGCCAGCATCCACCCTCACCCCGACCAGCCATCCCCGGCAGGTGAAGGCGTGAGCGCAGGCACCAGACCCCAACGTCCAGGAAAGGTCTCTTCGCTCGCCAGAGGTCAGGTCAAAGGTTAAGTCCTTCCCCTCTCCCAGTGCAGGGCGCCTGGGATGCCCGCTTGCTCTCAGGAGGCACAGCCATACTGCTGAGCAGTTTTGTACCTTTTTACACGTGTACACTTTTGGCAAAGCCATACTTTCCAGAGTTGAAAACTTAAAATGAGACTCAGCTTGAACTGAGGGCTCACGAAACCCCTTGCTTGCGGTTCGCTGCTGGGCAGACAGGATGGAGCCTGTGTGGAGTCCCGGCCCCACTCTGTTCCTTGGAGAACAGTTTCTCTGTGCACGAAACCAGCCGCTGCAGTTCCGGTCCCTTCCCTCACAGTCCGCCGCGTGGCACTCAGAGCAGGTGGCCCAAGTGTCCCTTGGAAGTTACTGCAGGGATTCTGTGACAGTTTGTGTGGTCGTGTTTCTTTTTAATCTTACAGAAGCCTCTCTTTTTAAGACAGAACAGCTTTGGGTACAACACTGAGCGCCACCCACTGTTAACGAGGAAATGTTCTTAATGCCTGCTGTATCTTACTTTAAAGTTTTGGTCGTTGAACAGGTGGTTTTGTTTTTCCCTAAAGAACTTAGTGGTGCTTGTGCCTCATTCCCGGTAGAGCCTTGCAGAGTCTGGAGGAGAGTCAGGAGAAGGAGAAGGTGGGAGTGACACCTGCCCAGACCCTTGGCTCGGTACTTAAGACGCACAGGGAGACAGGGCATCGGGTCTAAGTCACTCACTGGTGAGCACTTGCCAGCAGGGCTGTTTTGTGTGACGGCACGGAGGTCACAGAACTCGTAAGGCTGTGATTCTACGATGTGTCTGTCAGCCTGCTCAGACACCGGAGCCCTGAGCAGCCCGTCCTGTGGGTGACCGGGGAGGGAGGTCCAGCCTCACCGGCCCTGACTTCACGCCGAGCAGCCGTCGGACACGTGTCTCCACGCCGCCCCCGACCCCCCACACAGTAGCTGTCACTTGTTTGTTTCATTTTGTAGGAAACTCTGAACAGTCTACAAAGGACACTCAATTCTTTACCGTGTTATGTTTATACCACAAAAGCAAGTAAAATGGATTTTAGGATTTACCTTTAGTATTAACTTATCTCCTGACTTAACTGTTAGGATTCAAAACCAGTTAAGTGATGCGAGTTAACGCCTGTGGTTTTCCTAAGTGATGTTTATAAAATGTGAAGTCTCTAAGTGGCTCCTGCACAGTCACACTTTGTGGATCTTCTCACAAGTGTACTCCTCTGTCAGGACAAAAACCGACCACGCCCAGCTGCTGAGGGGTGCAGGGTGGCGCACAGGCAGCTGTCTCACCAGCCGCCGCTGCCGCTGCCGCTACTGCCTGGGGGCCAGGCCACAGCGAGGCCCCAAGAAGAGCCTGGGCAGCGGCTGCTCTGGACAGTTCACGACTTTCGTGTTTTAGTTTGAGGCATTTTTTTCCAACAAAGCTTCTGATCGACTGTCTGCTACAACTGAAGTGTTACTCCGTCAAATATTTATTCCCTGTGTGACGCGCTGGATTTCCACGGGTGTAGCTCATCGTTTCCATTTTGTAAATACTACCTAACTTCACATAAGCAGCATCATAATAAACTATTTTTGCACCACGCTCTGCTCGCTGTGAATGAGGTTCTGTTTAATGGAAAGACATGCAAAATAAGCATTTAGGTCAAAAGTCAGAAATCTGGTCGGGATCCTAGAGATTTATACTTGGGTTTTTGTTTGTTTTTACTTTTCTAACCTGCATTTTAAGTTTTGGATTTGTCATCAGCATTTTAAAATCAGGAGATTTCACATGTTCACACACAACAGAATAGACAGACAAACTTATACATCCCGAGTCTAATTAAGGGACACTGACTCAGTTACAGAAACTTTTCCAGAGGCCAAGGTGACAGTAAGAAACACCCAGGAGAAGAGGGTCATAACGCTTGCAGACCTGCCCCTCTGTTAACACATTTACAGCAGTTCTACTGTTTGTTAAAAAGAAAATTCATCTTCCATCACGACCCGGTGCGCACACGCTCCAGCCGCAACCCAGGCTCTCACAGAGCAGCGCACGCTCACTGGGACACACTCTGATGTCTCCATTCATTGTTCTAAAGTTCTGGTTGTGACCCACTGAATAAATGTAAAACAATAAACTGCATTTTTTTTTCGATGTTGTCACAACCTTTGGAATAAAATACCGTGAGAATGACTGGGAGTCCAAACTTTTTAGATAAACACAAAGAAGGTCTGACTGACTTACCTGTTGGAAATCAGCGTGTGGAATCTGTAAAAGCAAACACAGTGAACGCCGCACTCATTGGTGTGAAACGAAAGCTCCCCCCCTCCCCCAAGATCAGGAGCAAGACAAGGACATCTTCTCAGCAAATCTATTCAACATTGTGCCAGAGACTTAGGGAGAAAGAGCGGGGCCCCCGGGGGGAAGAGGCAGCACCGCCTCTGTGTGCAGAAGGCACGCTGTGGCACACGGGAGACCCAGGAACCCACTTCAGCAAACTACCTAAAACCTACTAAAGCCAGGCTTGCAGGGTACAAGAGTCATGTAACTGAACTCCTCTACATTAGTAACAATCTGACACAAATGCATTTTTTAAAAGAACAATAAGACTCACCCACTGAAAAACTACCAAATACTATTTAAAGAAAGAAGATTTAAGTAAATGGAAAGGAATGCTCATTTACAGATTGGAAAATGTAACACTGTTAGAACAGCAATATTTTGCAATTTGATCTACAGATTCAAGACAGTCTCTATCCAGATCCCAGCTGCTTTTGCACAAGTTCATCAGCTGATCCTAAGATTTAGGTGAAAATGTGCAGGGACCCAGAGCAGCCAGAGCAAAGCTGGAAAAGAAAGGCAAAGACAGAGGACTCGTGCTGCTGGGCCTCAGAACACACCAGAGCTCCAGCTGTCGAGCTGCTGTGGCACCGCCGGGGACCCAGAGGGCAGTGGGGCAGTGCTGAGTCCAGGGTGTCGGGCCAGTCGGCAGGGAAAAGTAATCTCTTCAATAGCGCTGGGACTGCTAGCTACCCACGCACAAAAGAACGAAGCGAGGGCTGAGGGCTGTTACACCGTGTACCAAAGTTAACACGGCTCACAGACCTGAACACAACAGCTAAGAATGTAAGACTCTTAGAAAAAACATAGGAGCAGACCTTTGTGAGCTTGGGTTGGACAAACGTTTCCTAGTTAAGACACCAAAGCACAAGCAGCTGAAGTGAAAGCAGGTAAACTGAACTATATCAAAATTAGTAACATAGGCTACAAACAGCACCATCAGGAAAGTGAAGACTCCCCAGAGACCTGGAGGAAATGTTCACAAACCGTGTTTCTGATAAGGAACTTACATCCAGACACACAAAGGACTCATAACAGTGAAAAGGCAACCCAGCGAAACAATGGGTAAAGGTTCGAACAGACGTTTCTCTAAAGACAGTATGTAAATAACCAGTGAGCACGTGAAAAAGTGCCAGTATCGTTAGTCACCAGGAAGACACGAGAAAAACCCGCAGCGAGGCGGCACCTCTCACCCAGCAGGCTGGCTGGCACTACAGTTGGGCAGGCTCCGAGGGAGGGTCAGGATGGTGAGCGGTGGGCCCACGAGCTCGCCTCCCCGCGGCCACAAGAAAACCACAACTGGCTGCTGGACAACCACCGAACAAAGACTGGAACCTAGCAAAGACGACCTTCTGCAACCGGAAGCACAGAGGGAACCACAGCAGGACGGCAGGAGGGGCGTGCTCGCGATGTAGTTGGGCCCCGTACCCCCCGGCGTGGGCGACCCACACGCTGACGGACAGTTAAGTCGCAGAGGGCCCCCAAGGAGTGAGCGCTCTGAGCCCCACGTCAGGCTCCCCAGCCCGGGTTCTGGCACTGGAAGGAGGAGGAGTCCCCCAGGACATCTGGTTGTGAAGGCCAGGGGGGCTTGGCTCGAGGAGCCCCACAGGACTGGGGGAGACAGAAACTTAACTCGCTTGGGAAGCGTACACACACTCTTGCGCACACCAGGGCCAAGGGCAGAGGCAGTGACTTCATAGGAACCTGAGCCAGGCCCGCCTGCTGGATCTGGAGGGTCTCCTGGGGACATGGGGGACGGCTGCGGCTCACTCAGGGGACACAGAAGCTGGTGGCGGACATTCCAGGGGTGTTCATCTACCTGAGCTTTCCTGGAGGCTGGCGTCTTGATTGGATCATCAGCACCAAGACCCAGCCCCACCCATCAGCCTGTAGGGAGGCTTCAGGCCAAACATACTGGGTGGGAGCACAGCCCCACCCATCAGCTGACCTCCTGAGCCACAAAGGCCTCTAGACACGGCCTTGCCCACCAGAGGTCCAGGACCAAGCCTCACCCAGTGGTGGGCAGGCCCCGGCTCCTCCTGCCAGGAAACGTGCATAAGCCTCTAGTCCAGCCTCACCCACCAGGGGGCAGTTACCAAAAATAAGAAAACACCAACCCACAAACGCAGGCCAGACTCCACATTAGGACCTGCTGGACCCTGGCCCTTGGGTGACAAGAGAGGAGTGCACTGCTGGGACACACAGGACGTCTCCCACAGAGGGCCACCTCTCCAAGGTCGA